CTTAGGGTTCCCCGTCTGGTTACAGACGGGTAGTCTTAGGCTTAGCCGTCTGGTTACAGACGGGTAGTCTTAGGCTTAGCCGTCTGGTTACAGACGGGTAGTGTTAGGCTTAGGCTTAGGGTTCCCTGTCTGGTTACAGAAAGTTTAGGGCTTGTTAGGGTTTCCCGTATGGTAACAGAGGGGTTAGGGGCTTGTTAGGGTTACCATAAGGTTACAGATCGGAACCGAGCAGCCCAGTCTGGGTGAGTAAGTTTTGCGAGGTATATTCTTTCAAGTGGATGCACAGCAGCTGGAACTGCGGCCTACTGTCTGCGAGCTTCCCAGACGGTTCTGCCGTTCTTGTCACGGATTGTGAATATAACGTAGCCTTTCCTTAATTTTTGGTGGGTTGAGGCAGCAGATCTGCAGATGTACGGGAACCAGCTACCGGGAAGTCATCGCCAGCGAAAACAGTCGTCAACTTCAGAGCGTTCTACAAGCCTCTTACCACATGGATCATCTGTTCCAGGAACCTGAGCTATGAACAATGATTGTTGTCGTGGTGTAATACTGTATCACTGCAGGATTTTGGTTGTATGTTTCCCATAAAGCGCCAACCTTAATTGTAGATTCACTGGTTCACTCTTAGGATGTTGGGGACGGTTACCGCCGAGAGGGAGGACCTTGTGTGCTCCACCCAGACGTTGAAAGATGCTCCGCCACTCCGAGTCAAGGGCTTTCTGAAGAAGACACCCTGGCGGCACCTTATTTACTTCCGTTGGGGCCGCGTTGGTAAGGACGCTTCAATAAAATAGTAAATCAGTAAATCAGCCCAGAAAGCTTCTGAGGATGTGTTGGTGGCTGGGCCGCCGTGCCAGCCATACAGTTCCCTAAATTTGCACCGTTGGAAACCTGGTTACACACCATGGAAATCCGACAATGCGAGGCCGTTTTTAGAGATAGCTCGTCATATTCGGGCACGCCGCCCACGCAGTGTCGTGCTCGAAGAGGCACGATACCACAAATATTGCACACCATAGTCTAGACTCATAGTGTTGCAAACCGTCCGGTCAAGACTGTAATGGTGCAACCAAACTTATTTGGCCCGTAGCCTCCCTTTAACTTGGCACAGGTGCTCGGGACCCTCGCCATGATCAAGCCTCTCAATGATGACAATCCTTTGGAGCCAAAAGTTGGCGAGGCCATCGGGAAAGGTTGACCTTTGAGGGACAGTACTTACTTGTTTGGTGAGGCAGCAAATAAGTGGGTGTCATCATGTCATCGCACTGGTCTCGCTACGTCTGGGAAATCACGCATTGCCGCATTGCTGACTGTTTGCCAGTGTTTGCAGTTCTCTGGGACGTGTTAGATTGTTTGTCAAGACGACTTGATAATCGATCTCATGTGTTCCACGCTTGTGCGGGCTCAAGTTTATCCTGTATGTGACTGTATCTTTCCGAGTGTTCGGGTTAAAGAAAACATTTGTTCGGTTTGTTGTCGTAGGTCGTAGGACGAGTGCGGACGATTGGTCAACAGTCACCGTTACAGTTACCGAAGCTATCTATGCACGTCAGGATCATAAACATCATAACCTGTTGTTCAACGTGTTGCCGTGTTGCCTGCAAGGTCCTGATACAGCTATGTAGACGCCAGGACTAGATGCCGTGGAAGTGTAGAAGCTGAGCTATGCCGTGGAAGTGTAGAAGCTGCGCCAAGAACACAACAACCAGGAGACCTCCGAATAATGAGTGTTACTCATGCCGTCCTTTTGACAAGATCGGCTGGCATAACAAGCTGCGCCCAACACGTCGCTTGATGGAGAAGACGCCGACGCCCCCAAGCTTAATCCGGCATGCGACCGCGAAGCAGCAGCCCAAGCGTGGGAAGCAAGGCATTTTTTCCTGGGAAAGCACCAAGTCACATGAGACACTTGTGCGGATTGAAGAGTTGAGGATTGGGTTGGAAGCTGAAACAAAGGTTTTACTGCAGGTTACTCGGCGGGACTTTGCGACGCTGCACAGTGTGTTGTCTTCAGCTCATGCGGTTCTTCAGTGCTACGAGCACAAGAGCATCCAGATTCCCTGCAAGTTGGAGCTTGCCATAGCCAGTTTGATCTCAGTGGCAATGGCCACTTCGGCCAGAGTGTGCGATGCGGATGCAGTAAGAGTGGCGTATCGTGTAGAACACAGAATCAAACGCGGTGAGATGATGGCCATGGAGTGTTTCTGGACAAACCTGGTAGGCAATTGCCGCGGCCAGCAAGGCTTGCTCGGCTCCTGATTTCGCGAACTTCTTACAGTCTTTCAGTGTCACCTCCAGCTTGCAGACTCCGGGTTTCGGTTTGGGTGGGCTAGTGGCTTAGAATAGACTAGTGACTAGAGTTTAAATGGAGCCCGGTTTTAGCGATTTGATTAGGTAGGTTAGGGATTTTGTGATTTAGGAGCAGTTTAACAAGCTTGGTTTTGGGCCCGTGCTTAATTAGGCAGGATGACTAGGGAGTTTCCATAATTAGGTGGGCCCCAATATAGACCCCAATAAAGTAAAATCCTCCTGATAAGGACCCCAACAAAGGACTTCCAATAGGGCTTGCAAGCTCAAGTTCAATTTTGTGATGGGGCCGCGAACCCATTCACGACGTGGCAATCCGGCGAAGCTTCGAGGGCCACCTGCTGGGAGCTGGGCAGTCTCTTGATTGAATATTGTGCAGGGTATCTGGGGATCTTGATGATTGCGGTGTGCGAGCGTTGGGACCTTGCTCCATGTCATAGCAAAACACATAGTGCGCCCAGGCGCGGTTTGTTCGGTCTTACCACACCCTTTAATCATCACCCGAAGCGCACACTCCCCCATCTCCTGTAGCCATCGCCGAAAACCGACCCTGTGGACTCTCATAGTGTCCGATTGTAACTTGTAACTATAATAAAGACACCAAAAAAGCCACACAACGGCTACCCTTCCCGACTGTAAGAAACACAATCACAAAAGACGAATGAAGTGAACAGGGTTAATGTCCACCAGCCTCGAAACATAGAGCAGTGTGACTTTGGACGGGTGCAATCAGGTTCCTCCGTGGGCCGACGGCGTCTCCAAAAACAGCACGGCAGCCTGTCTGCAGATAGCGAACCACGAAGCCGAAACATCCAGGCCCCTCAGGATCCCTCAAGGCACATGTCTCAAGACTTATGGCTCAGTTTGATTCGCTGCCGCTGGTGAGTGTTGTTGTGCCGGCTGTGACAAGCCTAGGCATGTATGTGGCTACCGGCTGGATGGGTGTGACTTGCAGCATTGATGGATCTCGAATGAGTTTGGCGCTGCAGCTCTGTGACTTTACGGGTCCCGTGCCAACGTATCAGAGTCATCAGAGTGCCGTCCGTGTACTGTTGACAAGTGAATGAAACCGAGTACTCGTCCTAGTACCATGGTACTGCCATCGTAGTACACATCATGGAGTTTGACAGCTCTGATGCACCTGTCGTTGCAGCTGGGGCCTAGCTTGACATTTCATAAGCAGATGTCTAGGGATTTCGCAGGTCTCGTGTGGTTGCTGCAAAACATTCGCATGCAAGGTTATTCAGACTTGTCTGGTTCGTTATCGACAGTCGGAGCCTGCTCTAATCGTGCAGCTTGCTTGGGCTTCGGAAGGGTGTGCCGGCGCTTTTGTGTGTCAGGGGTTTTTCCTTCATGCCTGGGCTCCTCGTTTGGCTTCGAGATCCCTTGCGATTGCGAGTCTCCTTCCCGTCCGGGTCAGTCCATTGAATCAACTGTATAGGGTTGTCTTTCCAGGTTTCGCGCTAGCTCCTTGCATGGTACGGTGAAGCCAGGGAAGGTCTCACTAACAAACTCTTCTGGTTTCTGACAGTTCGTACATCTCGATTTCGGGTTCAACGGTTGACCCGCTGTTGAACAACGTCATAGCCATAGCAGCCTAAACTTATACAACAAGAGAGCTTTGTGTGCTCGCGCCCTGTGGCTGACAGTGGCATACATCGGCACACACACACACACCCCACGGAGATCGATTGAGTTCTTTGCAAACAAGGGTTGCCGCAGTTACTTCGTGTGTTCCTAGTATACACTGGGAAGCTTCAAACAATCCTCATGAGTTAGTAATAATATAATTTCATGGTGCTCTTTTGTCCCAAGTTGTCCCGAATCGAACCCCGACAAATAGTTTGTGATTTGTGTAGGCAGAGTCAACACTACATCACAGAATCACAGTTGTAGGGTAAACCAGATGCTGTCACGTTTGCTCCGTTCTTATCGTCGGCCTGCGCCAGAAGTTGACGCAGATGAGAGCAGCTCGAAATCGCAGAGCAGCCGCTCCTCAGACTCAGAGTCCTCTTCATCAGATTCAAGTTCAAGCGTAAGGACCAGCTCAGAAGTTGAGCCGGCACCAGATGCTTCATGCCCAGAAAACCAAGCGCACACTGATAGACTTGCGAAGATGAGGGCCAGAGCAGAGGTGGCGAGGAGAGCGCTTGCCACTCGTCGCTACATGTCTATGAAGGAGAAGGTAGAATCGAAACCGGTCTCAGAGACGAAAAGCAGAGCAGAAACTCTGCAGGAAATGCTGTTCACCAAGGAATTTTACGAGCAGGACAGAGCTGGTACCATGAAGTCCCAAACACGTTGGCGTGGAATTTTTAGCTATTTCACGGCTTTTGTGTCTGCTGTTCATTCTTTTTGCGCAAATCCTGTGAAACACATACTTGGAATTTACATTGTGGACGATACCAACATTCGGATGGCCGAGCCAGATGGTAGCAGCGCTGTGTATTCTGCTATGAACGCAATTCAGTTCGTCACCATTCGTTCCATCGCTGACAAGCTGTGCCACTTCCGATTGCACCAACCAATGGTTTGCTTGGCGAATGCCACAGCGGCCACGCTGCACGCCCATTCCACCGCTTGGTTTTTCTGTTGTGCCCGGGGACTGGGAATGTGCCTGCAGGCTCTTGGGCTGGTAGACGCTCGCGTTTCGGCTAGGTTTCGGTGTGGTATTTGGGTAACAGATTCTCTGAGAGCAAACTCCAAGCTCTTCTGTTATGAGCGTGCAGCACTTCAAGAGCAGCATGAGGATGGCACTGCAGGGGAGGCTGGAGCGAGAAGCGAGACACGACTTGGCATGCATATCACTTGTGGTATACATAAGCTCTCTCTTATACGTCGACCCTTGGTCTTGATGGTGCCATGCTACTGGTCAACGCTGGTAAGGCTCGCCCATTTGTTTGAGGGGCGGGCATTCAAGCAAAAATTCAGAGAAGCTTTAGCTTGCGTGGTCATGGACTCATTCAAAAAGGTGGAAGTCCATACTTTGCCTTCGGAGATCAAACAGTGGCAATCTGCAGCAGAAATGGTTTTCAGCAGCTGCGAGCCGTCTAGGCGCAAGTACATCGAGCAGGGAGAAGCCCTGTACAAGAGCATTGTAAACTCAGATCCGTCGAAACCTGCAATCATTCATTGGTGCCTGGTTGGAGGGTGTTCCTGCAAGTCATCCTCCACTGAGGATTGTATGATCAAAGTGCTCCGAGCATGCCTAAACCTTTTTGGGCGCGGATATCCGGTTCCACTGCTGCAGCGGTGGAAACACTATGGGCCAGCAAATGCTTTTTTTGCACGCGGTTTGCTGCTCCACCGAATCCTACCCCGTGTCCTGGAGAATATGGAGTCGAGCAGGCCCCCGTCGACAACCAAAAAGGCAGAACACCTCCTCGCAAAGGTTGCGGCCCCGCGTGACGAGATGATGGTTGAAGTTGATGCAGCCGATCATGATACTGACGACGATGCAGCTGCCCTGCCTCAGGTTGAGGAGTCGTTTGCTGAAGTAAACGGACGGCGCTTGCAACAAGTTTGCAAGGCTGTGCGCCGTGATAGCTTCCTCGATGACGCGTCCATTGTGAACATGCTGTGTGCTCCAATTGATCTCGCCATCAACAAGCTGATGAAGCGAACTCGTATTGTGCACACATTGCGCAACGAAGTGTTGATGGCAGGCAGGTGTGTGTGGTCAGATGGTAGGCCCTTTCTTATTTGAGTTGGTACTCGGTGTACGGATGATGAAGCCGAAGCTTCTAGTATAGCCTATACTGTATAGGTCGAGTTAGTTCTCGCCGTTTCACCCGAACCCTGATAAAGTTGTAATCTCAAATAACTCCCTGGATATGGACACTCTTTTTGCGCATCCAGCCTGATCCTTGGCACAGCCTTGAGGAGCAAGCGACAACGTTGGAATGGCTTCTGAAAGCTTGCGTTTTTTCTTGAATTTCGCTTCGGGCAATTTTGGAATGGACATCGTGAAATCCTTTTTGGACATTATCGTCCATACCTCCAAGGAGAGTGTCTGCAAAGGGTTGGGCCCAAGTCCGTCGAGAGCCAAAGAAGTCTGGTGTGGTGCTTTGTTCGGGATGGCAGATTCTTGGCGCCGTTTCGTGCATCAACTGGATTGCTACCCTTGGAAGCTATTTGCTTTATGCCCCATGACAGAGAAAGACTTCTTCAACCGTTGGTCTGAGTTGCAGCAGCGGCTTTCTGCCTGCCCTTGCTGTTTGGATGTGGAAATAACCCAGGGGCTTCTCAGGAGCTTGGGAGATTTTGGCTCAGACGAACCAGCATCCCGCAAACAAGTGTATGTTCAAGTTGTGCAGCTATTGATGGACGTTGCAACTTACGCCCCACTCTCCACTGATGCCGTAGAGGTGTTTCACGGCCAGTTGCAGAATGTCATTCACAAGTTCAGAGGACGTGGCAAACTTGCCCGCGCCTGCTCCGAGAGATCTGTTCTACACTCCCTGGTAGCAGAACACTCGCGAGCCCTGGCCTGCGTAAAGGCAGAGACCCTTCCCAATGCGCGACTTGTCAGCCTCATCGAAAGGCCATGCCCAGCACATCAGTCTGGCGAACACCCGGTTGCGAAACAGTTGAACCGACAGTTGCGCAGATTGTGCGGTTGGAATGTTTTCTCCCGTGAGGCGCTACGTGGTGAAGTGTTACCCAAAGCCGAGTATGCCCGGAGGGAGAAGCAGATGAGTCGGCAATGGAAGCAGATGAGCACCGAAGACAAATCACCGTATGAGGTCCGCGCCGCGTTTGAAACGGAACGACGGGACGTGTGGTTGTCTACTGCGCTGCCTATTGGGAACGACCGTGATCAGCAAGCTGTTCACGAAATCGGGCAACGCATGGTGCACAAGTTGGCTTACGACCGCTTGCAGATCAACTACAAACACCTTCGGGAGCATCATAGTTGGAAGGCTGGCCTGGGTTTGGGGGACGCTAATGGGGCACTGAGGGCAGATCTGATGGAGACCACAATGACTGATTCAGAGATTGCCGCTGCTTTGGGTCCAGCTTTCAAGCACATGTCTGACGAGGCTTGGGAAACAACGGTCCCGAAGCTTGCAGATTGCCCCGGCACTTGCCGCAGCCAATGTGGCATTTGCCAGGGATCCCTGGTTTATTCCGCAGTGAAAGCACTTGTCAGAGGATTCTCTCGCCATGTCCACAACCTCGGCTGGAAAACTGGGGCATTGTTGCAGTTCTGGGCTGAAGGTGGTAGTCCTGCGGATGCTGACTGCGTCACGGCTTTTTTGGCTATGACAGTTTTGCGTCCCTCTGAACACGTCCTGGTGCGTGCAAGCACGGTGGGCAACGGAAGAGTCGCGATCAGTCTTCTGCCAGATTCAGGTTTACCTGACTTCGTTACATCCCACGAGCTGTTCGAATCTATGCTGACTTCGCAAACTGCTGGCAATGCAAGAGCTTTGAGGCACAAGAAAGTGTGTGCACGCCAACTGGATTTCGATCTGGATGCCTTCACCCCTGGTCAGGAGGCTCACTCGTTCCTTGAGGTCACGGTCATCAAGGAGCACGACTCTGTTATGTTGAATGAAAAGAAAACCAGACAGCCAAAGCCAAAACTGCCCTTCGGACTTCAGGCCACCCAGAGAAAAAGACAGCAACATCTTCCGCAAAACTCGCGGGCCCTGAAAAAGGCACGAGTTGCTGGTGCTTTACAGAAAGCACGAGGCATGCCCGCTTTTTCTGAGGAGCCATGGTTGATGTAATTATGAGTTAATGACGTTCTAGTTTGTAGATCTTTTTCGTTTTGGTCTGGCTAGATTGCTACAGTTATTTTGGTTTGGTTTCGACATTTCACAAGCGTGCGTTCACAAATTTGTTCATGCCCCAGGATAGACCGAGGCCAGCTGCGCAGGCCACAGAGCTCAGGGCTGTCGTCGCTCATGAGAGCAGTTCCGAGTCCGGATCTGATGGTTGCGCTTCGACTGGCTCTTCGCCATCAAACGTTGGGTCGAGCGGGGCTTCTGCTCCGGTGTCCGACAACTCCGATTCAGAAGATGACATTGTTGCGGCGCCCTCAACAACGGTGGAAGAAACATCGCGGGAAGTCCCTTCCATTCTTGTAGAAGTCCAGGAGCAGCGTGAGCTTCAATGGCAACAGCAGGGCAGCGCCGTGGAGCGTGCTTCTTCCAGCAGTTTTTTTGCCACAGAGATTGGCTTTTGCGAAGGGGACTTAGCCAAGACTGGCAGGAGCAAGTGCCGCCACTGTGGCGATCCCATTGCCCGTGGCTTGCCTAGGTTTGCTTATCACTACAACCGGTATAGGCCGTCGGCCTGGGTTCATTCCAAGTGTATGAAAGCGTTCGTTCAGGCTGGACCTCCTGAAAGGAAGTTGCAAGCTGTGGAGAAGTTGCGTTTCATAGCGTCTGATACAGAGCAGGAGCTTGCAAGCGAAGCCAGAAGCCTTCTCCGACAATTGGCAGACTGTTGAAATGTTGTTTTCAAGCTTTTCGCTGCTATCTGCATGAAGTCGACCGTTGTTCCTTGCAGTTGAAGCAGCATTGAAGCCAGCAGTGGCATGTCGCCCGAGCGAAAATCCCAGGAGCACTCTTGCACCTGCTTCTTTACTTGTACATGTAGTGTTACAGAAAGTGCGGTATGCAAACAATGTCGGGGGTAGGAAGCCGTCGATTGTGTGCTCATGTGTGGGCAGGCCCCGATGAAGTTTATGCTGACCGGTGTCTTGGACAGTGGCGAGGAGATCGGGCTGCAGCTTATTGAACATTACCACCTCAAGGTCTTGAGAATGGAGTTTCTTGTCCATCGAAGATAGGTCGAGACTGTCGAGACAGTCAGGTGATGTGCAGTTGTGGTTCTTGGGTATCTCTAGCCTTGCCTGGTTCTTGAGAGATCTAACAAAGACATTGTGTGGTTGCTTCGTAGTGGCAAAGCTGTTGAGCAACATAGTGCAGACGCGTGAGGAATGACACCATTCCCTTGTTAAGCCGTTAAGCGACATGGATTTACCAAAAATAGGCTGATTAAGTTATTATTACTTATTAGGCATTTGCAAGTACAAGTATTTGCAAGCATCGGTTTTGGTGTGGGGTCAGGGTATATTTGCTCTCTTTGTGGTTTTGGGTCAGGGTAATATAATAATATAATAATATAATATATCATATATCTAGGACCTTAGATAATATGCGGTATTCGTAGTCAAACTTCTGTATCCTGAAACCTCATGCTCTTAGCTGTGTATGTGTATGGAAGGTGGGAATGCTGCCGCTATCGACTCTCTCAGGCGACTCAGGTGATTCGACGTCATAGCGAGAAGTACAAAACAAGTGTATACTGCCCTTCTCAGCACAACGAAAAGCTCGACTTTCATAACCCAAGCAACAGAACAAGATTCATTCAAAAGTGAACTGTGTGCAGTTATAACTAGAACTAGAAGCCTATTGCCAGGCCCGACCCATTCCAATTATATGAAATTAAATGAACCCGAGGGTTTCTGGGATTGGATTGGAAATCACACCCGCCCTGACCCTGTCGACCTTCATAAGGTGAATGAACTCGAGTAGATGCTCCTGCTGCTCTAGGTCGTCCCACTTCGGGTCGCCCTGCCGGCGTGGACGGGTGTATGTTGTCATGGTTCGGCAAGACTGCGCCGATGTTGCTGATTTCGACCACATGATTCATGTCATACTGTCCACGTTGGAACCTTATTCGCTGCGTCAAGTCTGTGTTGATACATGGTACAAGAAGCGGGTAGGTGGAAAGTGGACTATGTGTTTTGACCTGGCAGGTTCCGAAATGTGCTGGAGCCGACCACATTGGATGCCATCGCGCGGGTTGCTGCTGAGTGGGGGCCACCCTTGCTGCCAGAGATTTCGAAGGCTGGTGGATGAGTGGGTTCGTTTCAAGAAAACAGCATCCAAATAACGCCACCCCAAACAAATCTGTAGCTCCGAGACACCAGCCCACCACCCCCAAACGACATCCAAATCACCAATGCACCACCCCCGAAGGACCTCCAAATCACCAAACCACTACCCCGCGAACCCAAAACAGTCGTAGACTGATCGCGGCTAGGAGGGCAAGAGGTCGCGGAAACAAGAGCAGCAGGATGATCTATTGCGACGGAGATATTTGACCAGCCCTCACAAGTACAGCGACACTCTGCCAGTGGAGATAGTGCAGAGGATGAATTCTCGGCAGCGTTTTTGCCTGGATGTGAATTATGAATATCTTCTTCAGGACTTGGGATTCTGTCGCTTCCGGTGTGCAAATTTGTCTAGTCACCTACGGCCCTACGGCATGGGTTCGTTGTCCTACCAGAATCGTATCATATCACATATACTCTGTATATAACAACCATGACCATGACAGAGTTATGGAGTCTTGCTTGAGTCATGATAACTAGTCATCCGCTGCTGGGGTGTATGGTTTTATGATATGTCATGACCATCTCTGTTGTTTAAACTTCGGCTTCTCAGTACTAAATAGTACTAAAGATAAGGTTTGCACACATATAGTGTCAAACCGTTTAAAACCGTGTGGCGCCAAAACTACAATATAGTGTCAAACCGTGTAAAACCGTGTGACGCCAAAACAAGGTATTAGTGTCAAATAGTGTCAAACAGTGTCAAACAGTTTATCGTGTCAAACAGTTGCAAACCGTTTCCGACAGGCTGAACACATTTAGTGTCAAACCGTTGCAAACCGTTTGACGCTAATCTATGTTAAGGCAACCGTAGCCATATAATAAACATACAGACTATCCTTATAAGTCATAAGTTATAACTTACAACTTCTAGATTATCTTATAAGTTATAAGTTATATCTGTCGTATAACTTATAAGTATAAGCCCGAGTTAAGTCGAAGTCAAAGGTTGAAACAGTATCACCATCATCATCATCATCATCAGCAGTCTCAAAACCACATCTGCGTAAGCAACCTGCGCCCCAAAACCACTGTAGGGTTTTAGCCATCTTCATCGTAGCTCAGAACCATTATCAACTATCAATCAATGGTAACTTACCATCATTATCATCATCGCTTCGTCAGCAGCATCATCCAAGGCATCACCGTCCTGGTTAACAACACCATCATTAGCATCGCCGCCGCCATCAGAACCTTCGCCGTTGTCATCTTCAGCGTCACCGCCATCAACTCCCACACCCACTTGTCGTCAAGGTTGCTTGTTGTAGAAGGGGACTTTGATACACCAAGATTTCCCAAAGATTGCCGATGCCCAAAGCACCGATAGTCGATCGCAGGAGAAGCGGGTGGATCCAACGCTGGCAGTCATCGACTTGGGGCGACAGTTGGCAGCATGATTGGAGGTAGGGATTCGCAGATCGTTCTCGAAGCAGAAGCACACCAAGCTTAGGTTCGTATTTTCGCTTAAGCTTAGCCGAGGAAGTGTTCAGCGGCATGTTGCGTTTCCTCGGAGAAGGATGCGGGCGATTACTACCGCGGTACGTTTATTCGATTGCCGGCGTGGGACTTTCATCAGTGGGCAGGAGCTCATGGCGATGCAGGGTTTTGACATGGCCTGTTTCACGATGGGTTCGCCTTCGTACACCCTTTTGAACTTGATGGCTGGTGGGGGGCTCGCACATGTGCAGACACGATCTTGCAATTGAAACAAATTGCCTGGAGAAAGCAAGAGCGATTTCACAAGTCTTTCCATGTCTGTATTTCGGATTACATCCCAATCGTTAATGTAAACCCATAACCCTAAACCCTAAACCATATACTTCCTTGAGGCAATGCAATGACTACTTCCGTCTTGAGCGCCATCCTGGTCGCCTTGAAGGCTTTCGCGTGGCCATTGGTCGTGGACGGATCAGGAGTTCGGCATCCACCACCCCTTAGAGCTCCTGCAGTGATGTACCCCCCCCAGGCAAGCAGTGAGTCAAGTGGGTCAGAGTCAGACAGTAGTTCGGAATCATTTGTGTCGTCTCCTGGAAGCAGCATGAAACCACCGAGCCTGTCTTTGAGTGCGCGCCCTGGGTCTGCCAGTCCCTGCGGCAATACATCAGACAGGAGTTTGATGTCTGAATGTAGCTCATCCAGTTGCAACACGATGGGTGTTGCGAGCGACTGAATCTTTTGCAGGGGTCGCCGGCCCTTTCGCCGAAGATGACATTTTGATTTGACTGAGTCTCAGGTTTTGGGCCGCCAGCTGTGCACGTTCATATTCCTTTCAGGCTTGTCAATTTTGCAACATGATGTAAATGTAAATATAAACCGTAAACCGTAAACCCATATGCACGTGCAATACTTCGTGGCCAGTGCTTCGAAACACACTTGCGCAGCTCAGCAGTACGCTGTGTGCTGTTGCGGGGGTGATGATGAGTCATACGTGCTGCGAACTGAGTGAAACCGTGCCGGCTAACCTCTGCTCCAACTACTCAGGCAACACTCATATGAGCTCGCGTTGCTTCGGTGATCGCTTGATTTCTGCTTGCCGGCTCTCACGAGTAGGAAACAGTGAACGGTTGCTTGGCTTGGAATCCCTGCTGAACTAAACGACAGCTTCGGGTTGAGTTTCATTTGCAAGACATATCCAATCAAGCTTATAGGTTTGTGCCGTATAGCTTTTGCATCCACCAGAAAGTCAGAAAGAAGCCTGCAGCGCTGCAGTGCTTGAAGGGCCATGGCAGAGACGGAAGAGCAACCCGAAGATCCCGTTCCTGAAGGTGCTTGTGAGCTCTGCGACCAGGTGTTTGGAACACCGGACAAGGACGCAATTATGAAGAAATAAACTTTAGATTGCGTGTGTATTGTGCTGTTGCTTGCCAATCATTTGACTGCACAATGATTCCTGAGAGAGGATACTCCTGAAGAGTATTCTGGCGAGCCGGTGATAGTGCATCCGGTACGATGTGGTGCGAAGCATTGTCATCAATGCATTTACAATGCGAGGGGGTCTTTTAAGAAGACCACATTGCCAGAGCTAGTGCAAAAGCGTCGGGCACATTCGCCCCTGAGAAGAAAGCCTCTTGGCTCATTCAGTCCAGCCCCATGCTCAAATCCATGTCTGCAGCATTAGCAGTCACGAGTCACTAGCATTGTGTTACACATCGCTGTGGCTCACCTACTGTGACAGCAACTGCAAGTCATGCAAGGATGCATGATCTTCGCAAGAGTGCTCTTCGTGCTCGACTCATGAATCCAGGGCGACGACAACGCCACGAATTGGTAGACATCAAGAGCTATGAGAAACGGGACGAGCAGTTTTTGGAAATTGCCCAGGCCCGACCCTTAACTATGGTATGCGTATGAAATTCACAGTACCCGTGCAGTGTGTTTGTGTAGGTGTTTAGGTCCAAGGACTTGTGTGTTTTGCTACTTAATTAGTACTTGTTTATTTTGCCGCATCACCAAGACTGGAACATGGAAGTCGCTACAGAAGATTTGCGAAGAGAAGGGCATGCACAAGCTTAAGACAGAGGCTCAGCAGAAGCGCTTCGTCGAGAAAACTTTGAAGCTAGAGGTGACGCTAGATGATCAAAAGCGGCCTGGCGTGGTCTTTGCGCGGGAGGATGATGATGTCAAGGAAGTTCGAATGGGAAGGCGGCTCAGCCATTCGAAAGTCCAGAGCAAGGAGGTTGAAAACCGTGAGGAGCTCGATGCTTTGCAAGAGAAGTCTGCAGGTGCCACGAGGTGCACCATGGAGCAGAAGGCCCGCTGTGACATTGATCTAGCTCTTGTGGCTCGGGGCAGGAGAGTATTCAAAGGGAGCAACTTTTGATTCATGATTCATGAGTCCATGAGTCATTTGATTACTTTCGAGTTGTCCAATACTTTAGTCTAATTAATAAAGTATTTAGACGAGCTGCTTTTCGAGGCCCCGAATTCCGTAGGCTATGTGGGGTTGTACACAAATGGAGATCTTGATGCGGTAGGGATTGTCAATGATTTCGCGACCCACTACTTTGCGCTTTTGCCCGTCTCGTACTGCATGTATTTGTGGAGGCGCTGCGATGTTATCGCCTCGCATCCATCGCTGTTGGGGTCGAGTTGCAGCTAAATTACGGACCGGGAGATTCGTGATGTATGGAGCCTCAAGCGGTTGGGCCCACGGTGCTGGCTAAAATACAAAACACCCATTATTGAGTAGTTTCATTGTCATGGATATAGCCATAGCCTCAAAACGCCCCCCAAATTTTCAGGAATTGGTGATGGATGAAGTGGCCGCTAGGCTCACTGGGCACCAGATTGCATGACCCGTGGCTTCAGGTGCTTGCAGATGTGCAAGTGAACGGCAGCGAAGACGAATCCTCCGCTGAAGGAGGGTGCTCGAGTTCAGACTCGTCTTGCGTGCTTGCAAAGGCTCTTGGTAAGAGCAAGGTCAAAGGACAGCCCAAGCGGCGCTTGTCCACCGGCTCCACTACAGCGTCAGTCGCCCCGACCGATGAGGCGGAGGCGTGGTCGGTAGATAGTGGTCACAAACGATAGAATGCGTGTAGCTGTGTGTTTGTGGTTTTTTGCGAGACTCTCGGAACCTGTACAGATTGCTGTGTTGAATCTTAATCTTGAAGCACGGGGCCAACATTGCTGTATCCTGTATCCTTGCTCTTTGCAGGCAAGAAACCGCAGCGCCTCCAATCCCCCGATGAAGAGATCACGGCACAAGCAGCCTCAGAATCCAAGTGCCCCCGCAACGTCACCCTCGCCTGTGCCGCAAGTTTCCAAGCAAGCGGAGAAACAGAAGAAGATTGATCAGATCCAGCCAACCCTGCAACAGCTCCGGGCGGTAACGGTTGAGGGAATGATGAAGGCTACACCGGGGTGCAGGGCAGCTGATGCCCGCAACAAGGCGTTGCGGGGTGCGAAGTTGGCAGAAGAAATCAGCCAGATTGAAGGCCAGTCCGAAGAGGCAAAGGAACTTGCCCAGCAGTCCAAGTTGCTCACAGACATGATCGAAGTGACCGACATGATCAGGACTGATGACTCATTACGATGGCTACCCCCCTGAGCCCTTAGCCCTTAACCTTAACCTCACCTAATAAAGAAAAAAGCAGAACATGAAATGCCCGCGCCAAAAAGGGACATTTTCGTTACACGTTTCGTTTTGTTCGTGTATGTTTCACAGCATGTTGTCTTAAGTCTGGTGTGTTGGGGCCAAAACTGACTTATTTTTCGTCCTATTGTTCCCATTGTTTTCGTATTTATTTCCTATTGTTTTCGTATTCATTTCCTATTCTCCAATCGTATTCATTTCGTATTTAATTTGTATTACATCCCTAATTTAATATACTGATAGATCTGGAACACTTGCATATGCTTCGCCGTCTTCAACCTAAAACACTTCGATTTCGGTAGCTTTCCGGTGAGCTTGAGTCAAATGCAAATAACCTTGTCAATGCTAGTTCTTGAGTAGTTCCAATGCTCTTCTCGTTTCACTGCGGAGCAGGACAGAAAGCTGCAATCAGGCGGTGTGCGACCCCGCAGTGGCCGCCAAGTGGAAGGAGCTCATGAGTCAGCTTCCGAAATCAGAGAAGCGGTTCATGTTTCAGGCAATCGCGGAGAAGTTGCGGCAGGACCGTATGAAGATTTAGGCTTTAGGTTTGGTTCGTGAGTTGCAGTGTTGCCTGTTGTGCTGCTTCGGGCTCTAGTCCCTAGTCCGCATCCACATCTTTTAACTTTAGGGGCGTGCCCCGGAGGACATCCAACCCAAATTTGGAGCCATTCGATTGGGGGCCCAGCGGTTGGTGTTACGGTTGTGGGGTTGTCAGGAAGTACAAAGCGCGCCTGGTCATTTAAACAAAGACGAGTACCGAGTAATCCATACATTCACTCCGGGAGTTCTAGCGTGATCATTTCTCCACAAAGAGGCGACGTGTAATGAGTTCACATGCATGCTTTTGGTGTTTTTTGTGTAGCAAACTACAAAGTGCGCCGAGGTGTGCTTTGTTAAATCAGATTCAGCAAGGACGAGTTGCAGCATTAGTGTGAGTGATCTTGCAGGTATGCTTTCGGTAATTTGTGTGGCAGAATACAAAGTGCGCCTGGGCGCTCTTTGTGAAATCATATATTATATTAAGCAAGGACGAGTTATCCATGTACCCACCCCGGCATGTCAGGCGTGCTTGTGTCTCCCCGCCGAACGGAAGCATAGGGTGAACGGTTTCGCAGTTGCACGTGCATGCTTTCGGTATTTCGTGTGGCAAAATACAAAGCGCGCCTGGGCGCTCTTTGTGAAATCATATATTAAGCAAGGACGAGTTATCCATGTACCCACCCCGGCATGTCAGGCGTGCTTGTGTCTCCCCGCCGAACGGAAGCATAGGGTGAACGGTTTCGCGGTTGCACGTGCATGCTTTCGGTATTTCGTGTGGCAAAATACAAAGCGCGCCTGGGCGCTCTTTGTGAAATCATATATTAAGCAAGGACGAGTTATCCTGTACCCACCCGGGATGTCAGGCGTGCTTGTTCCTTCCCGCCGAACAGAAGCATAGTGTGAACGGTGTCGCGGTTGAACATGCGTGCTAGAGGTAATTCGTGTGGCAAAATCCAAAGCGCGCCTGGGCGCTCTTTGTGAAATCATATATTAAGCAAGGACGAGTTATCCATGTACCCACCCCAGGATGTCAGGCGTGCTTGTTCCTTCCCGCCGAACAGAAGCATAGTGTGAACGGTTTCGCGGTTGCACATGCATGCTTTCGGTATTTCGTGTGGCAAAATACAAAGCGCGCCTGGGCGCTCTTTGTGAAATCATATATTAAGCAAGGACGAGTTATCCATGTGTCGGGTTGATTTCTAGTGCGCTTGTTTCTCCCGACCGAAGTGCAGCATAATTACAGTGACAGTCTAGTAGCATATTTCATGTTAGTGTTTCCCTGCTGGAAGCATGCTCCGTGGCAGGAAGGAGCCCCGAATTTCATCAATTTCATCCGCTGCAGCAGCGAAAGTGTACCGGAAGTGAGCCTTTCTTTGAGTGACTTCCGTGATCAGTTCAGCAACGAAGAGATCTTGCAGTTTCAATTGAATCTCTTTCAGAGCATTTTCAACGGCATGCTGAAGGATAAGGGCAATGCACTTCAGATCGAGGACATAGCCAAGCTCTTGCCTCCGGACACCTTCCAGCCACTGATCGCCAGGAGATTTTAGGGCTACGGCTTATATTTCTTTCGCAGGATGCCTAAGGCTTCAAGACCCCGGAGACCCCACCACCCGCAGGACAAGCTTTTCCGCATCCCACACATTGACAACTCTGTCCCCGGATGCTGCTGTCTGGGAGAACAAGACGGGGCTATCGTTGCAGGTAGTCTTGGATGCATCGTTCCTCCATTGCCTCGCCCGCGTGCAGGCACAGATTGACAATGGGGATCGAGGGTCAGATGGGCCAGGTGGCAACCGTGTCAGTGCTGCTGACCTGAAGCTCCTCGTGGCGGCATCCAGCAAGGTCAGTACGCGACTTCGGCTAGCCATTCGATCCAGCCCTAGCTTGAGGCCAGGGTCAGGGGCTCCTTATGTTCATGTGACCGTGTCGCCGTGTAGTTGGCGCATTCAGGAAACGGTTAAGTTAAGTAGGATCAGCAACCAAAGTTCGGCAGGACTGCACAGGGACATGCTGTGAATCGTGCTCAGCAGACATGCTCTTTGGACCAGCTTTTGGAGATTGGGCGCAAAGCCCACACCGATCTCCGGGAGCTTGAAAGTCTGCTTCAGCAGGCAATGGCCGATCATGGGCGTGTGCCGGGTATCTCGCTGAAGCCATTGTCGGAGGCGAAGAAATTGCTCCTTGAGTTGCCAGATGATGACTCCGATGAGAGTGCGAAAGAGTTGCGGGCATCGCTGGCAACGGAGGTGTCAAAGGCGTCTTCCACGGTTCTGTGTCTCTCCGCATCGCTTTCGGGGAGCAGTGGCAGTCTTGATGATTTGTTAGGCTGGTGTGAGCTCCAGTTCCCGTGCGAGGGCATGATGTTCCAGCCCATGTCGGAGTCAAAGTGTCTGGCGTGGGAGCAGAGAGGCCGCTCTTGTCTAGTGGCCATGGATAGCAGATGAGCTAGCACGAGTACTTGTACAGTACAACAGTACAACTTGTAGCCGCGTGGTCCTTTGGTCTTGTTATCACAGCAGCATCTGCTGGTTGCAGGAATGTTGGAGCTGAGCGTCGTTCAGTTCGGCAACAAGGAGGACCGTGAAATGGCCAAAAGCATGCTTGGAGCATGGCACCAGTTGGGAGAGTTCCCAACCATTGGTGAAGGCACCGCGGGTCTCGACCTCGATGATGTGCTTTTGCGGGTGTCAAAGTATGTTACGACTGTTGCCGCTTGGGGAGAGAAGTCCTTCGAGAGTCAAGAGGCCCCGGCATTCTTCCAGAAGATGTTCCCCGCTTTGCGCGAACTTTCCTCGCGCATGACATCCTCCACCCTCGCGACAGTGAAGGCCAAGGTCTTTGAACACAAGCCCGATTTGGAGAAGATGAACGCAGTCGTGAGCGAGATGTTCCCCTCCAACGGAAGCTACGCTTCGAATGTGAGGAGCTTTTTGCAAGGTGTGCAGCACCTGAGCAAAGTGATTGAGCAGCTCGAGTCCGTTGTGCTCAAGGCCGACAAATCGCAGGTCATTTCTGGTGAGCATGTCCGCTCCCAATACGATGCTGCTGTGGCCGCCTTCAGATTGGACACAGATCTTGTAGATGCTGCAGGTTTGAGTGCGAAGGTTAACGCGGGCCTCCACGAGTTCCGCTGTTCCGTGGAGGACTTGCACGAGACGTGCAAGATCAAGCTCGAGGGCATCCAGACTTTGATGGCGATGTACGAGCACTTTGACATTGAATGCATCTAGATTTCGTGGCTGTTCCAAGCCGCAAGATGCAACATACGTACATGCATGCGTTACATATGTTAAGTTTTTTCGTTTATCACATGTACACACACGTACACGAACGAAGGAAGATTATCGATGCCACAACAACCTGGGATACGGCTTTGATGCAAGAGGTGTTGAGCATGCCAGAGCTGGAGACGGACGTGGGGGCAATGCAGGATCTGTCAGCGTCGCTCCACAAGGAATGCATCTACTTGGGCGGTTTGAGTGAACTCCAGGTCGGACCAGAAGACTGGCTTCAGCTCTTTGGGAAGCTTGGTGCGGCAAACAAGCTCATCCAGGACAGGCCCCGCCCACCCTAAGACACGTGTTTAACGCAAGTGCAGCTTCAACACATGGGGTGAAAAGCAGCACCAGTGCAACGCAACTATCATAGGATTCGGATTCGGATTGTCTGTATGCAACTGCCCTGGCGAACAGCTGTAATCTGTAAGACAGGCATGCTACTCAACAGATGCGTCGACTCCCAACCCGACCACATTTAAAACAAAATCGGCACAGCTTGTTACACTTGTTATGATATGCGTTACCGCTGGGTCGCTGAGATGTGCTGCCGCTCCAGGTTATATGGACTGCCGTGGGAAGGAACTTTGTCCGCTTTCTGTAGTGGTACTTTGTTCACTGTTCACTTGGTGTCACTGTAATTTGCAATAGACAAGAAGGAACGAAGCGTGCAACTGTAGCCTTACAAGCTACAACCAGCCGATTCGAGCGACAATCCACAGTATCCACTATCGACTATTAACTTTGCGTTACAGAAAGCACCAGGCACAAAGCAATTTAGTTTACTTCGAGTGTAAGAACTGGCTTAGCCATGGCAGGAGATTTATACAAAAACATCGAAAATCCACGTTGTGGTGGCCTATGCCGAGCTGGTGCTGCATCCGGACAAGTATGATGCACATCCTGCCTTGATCGAGACAGGAAAAGCCGCGCAAAAGCTGGGAGTGGATGCTTTGTTGCCAAAGCGGCTCATGACCGAGGTCGGGCGAGCACTGGCGCTGCACGACAAGAAGGCCCCCCAGCCGGTGCCAGCAATGGATGACAAGAAGGGTGCGAAGAAGAAGGACAAAGACAAAAAGGACAGAAAGCACAAACACGAGGAGCCGGAGGCCCATGGCAAGAAGAGCAAGAAGCACAAACGTGAGTGAAATGCGATGATCTGCGATGTGCCATAGGCGGCGCTAGGCTGCCGATTTTGATGAAACGCGAGCTGGACTAGTCTGGCTTAAGCTAGGCATTTTGGGGTTTAGCCTAGCCTAGAGCTTTTTGGCAAGATATTCCTCGTGGTATAGATCTCAAATCTTCATCTGAAAAATGCTGCTGCTACTATTGTTACTGTTACTGCTACTGCTACTGCTGCCACAACTCCACCGCTGTCATTGTCACTACCTGCCACCGCCAAAGCCACCACCACGGCCGTCGCTGTTACTGCCACTGCCACTGCCACGCCACTGCCACTGCCACTACCACTGCCGCCTATTGCTGCTGCTGCCATTGGTGCTACGACGAAGACTATTCCAAGATTATGCCGCTTGTTTGTCGCCACCAGCTGGCCAGACTCTGTCCCAGCATTAGCCTTCGTAGAGTGCACTTCAGGAAGCGCTCAAGTTTTGGCACGATGAGAAAAAGATCAATTGAGTTGCGTACTGCCGCCAGATTTGACATGTTGGGAGATCCAAAAGATCCGCCAGGACTCGACCAAACGAGGACCAAAGGAGCCACCAAGAAACCACCAATCGAGAACCTAGAGAAACACCAATCAATCACCTTATCATCCCACATTAATGATACAGCTGGCAGCCGATTACAAGTTTTGGAACCTTAAGTGTAGCTCAACAGCATCTCAAACTGCGGGCTCTCTGCGCCGCCACAGCCGCAGGCTTGTATGCAACACACATGCTTGACCACGAATCAAGCGAAGGTCACGACGATGGATTCGCGAACCCTGAACCATGCGTGAACCACGAATCCCAATGCTAAGTCATTTCATGCAAAACCCCGACCAAAGGCATGAATGTCGGGGAGCACCACGTTTCTGTCTTCAGGGGGCAGACCTCCGAACGAAGCCTTTTTCGCTGCCCGCGGTTTGAAGGAATCCCGATGCTGCGGGGCCACGAAGACGTCGGGAGGGGCACGTGCTTATGCGACGTCCACATGCTGCGACAAACGGGCCGATGATGAAACACTAGACCATTTCCGCCGTTGAAAGATAACTGATCTGGTTATTCAGTCGCATCTGCGATCAAGTACTGCGCGCAGGGCGAAGCAGCTAAGGAAGGCCATCACCTGTCAAGGATTTGGACTTGCGCTCAGCTCCTATTGCCATGACATGCAGACCGATTCGTGTTGAGTTCAGGTACAGAGGTACTTGATCGTCAAGTGCGTTTCTAGCCTGGTCGTAGCAGCTGCTGGGCAAGACGAGCTGAGATGAGATGAAAACAGTGTAATGCAACATGACAATATGGAATACCATTAAATGAAACATATGAAAAATACGTGCAATATAATCTACTATACCATAACACACCATACGATATTGTACAATAGGTTAGTGTATCCCCATGTAATACTATATGCCAAAGCATAACAGAATGATTTATCACAGTATATTGGACTTATAACACAAGGTAATAAAATAGCACAAGATAGTACGGAGTCTAAGAGGATAGGATAGGAAGCAAAGCTCCTTTTGCTGACCTTTTGCTGCTCCTTGAGCTCAGGTTTTTGTCATGTGTGCACTCTGGGCAATGAAGGTTCCTCTTGTGGTCGTGGAGCGCTTATTGCTTTGATGCTGGACAGTTGCGCCGAAGTCAAGCTGCGCACTTTGCCCGGCCACACCTGCAGGTGTGGGGACTCGTGACTTTCGTGACCAACTTCATTCCTAACTTAGGCCGTGTTGCAGCCTTGCAGCATCGCCACCTTCGTAACTCTGCACACACGCATCACTACAAGTCGGTGATGAAGGTCCTTTGTTTGCTACTCTGGCACCGATCCCCTTTGTTTGGCTGAAGCCTGACGGGACGTCACTTGCCTGCGAGGGAAGTTGGTCCAACGGAGCTGAGCATTCTTCAGCATTCTTGTTGAAGTCATGTTCCCCTAACGGTTTATCCTAGACGATTCGCTGCGAGATGTTCTGTTACATGTGGTTTTCGCGGTTTACACGAGATGAGGCTGCTTGACACCTTTATTGTGATTCTGGTCCAATTCTTGGTCTCCAGCTTGGAACGCTCGCTGTCACATAGCTACGGCGGTTAAGCAACGAAAGGCGTTGTGCCTCTGCAAGGTGCACAACATAGCCGGCAACATTCTTGAGCCACAAATCATGTCGCAGGGACGCTTCCTTAGCCATGGCAAAGTTTCAGAGACTGGACGCTTGGGTTGCCCCTTTTTTTTTGAGCCTCGTTGAGCTGTCAGGTCTTGAGCTGCACCCGTTGACGATTGTGGTCGCCCTTATGTCGGCTCCACAGCAACGTCTTACCGCTGCGCCTGTTTGGAGGTTACGTCCTGGTCTTGGGGTGCTTCGAAACATCACTTGAACGAGGCAAGTAAGCGAGCAAGCAAGCAAAACTACGAGCTTTAAAGAAGCAGGAGCGAGAGCAGGGATCGACATTCAGTGCCTGAGTGTGATTTGCTGCGCGCGTGTGCATGCGTGCATGTTTGTGTGTTGCTGCTTGTTGGTTTGCGTGTCTGCTTGTAGGTGGGTATGAGTCGCTTCCCGAGGTTTTGGAGCAGCGTGTGGGGAATTGCAGGCCGCTTTCTTCTTGTGAGTCACGAGCACGGATGAGCACCAGCTTCCCTCAGGGGCCGTGCTCTCCGTTCCGATCAGTTGCGTACTTCGTTTATGGCTTGGAGAACTCGACGATCATCGTGCCCAGCGTTTGTACAGACCCTTGTCACGGTGTCAAATTGTCATTTGCAAGTGGTGTTTGCAGCAGCATGTAGCCACAGATTCAGCTCCATGAACTCAGCTATAACCGGGATCTCATGACTCACTGCTGCCAAAACTGAGCGAAGGATTGTTCGATGATCCACTGGGATGAGCTCACTGACCTCAGACGGCACAGCTTTTGGCACAATTGCTCAGCCGCGGTGTCGAGGTCCTTTGCTGCTTCGTTTTCCACTTTTATTCATGGCGGTCCATGTACAGCCGCCGAAGTCGTGCCACATAGCTGAAAGCGGCATGCAGGAAAGTGAAGCCTTCACCTAAGACCAAACTATGTTGTACTGATGGTGCTTTCTGAACAAAGCTCTGTCGAACTGTTGTTGAAGGAAGGGGTGCCATTTCAGAGCTTTGCACTTGTTGACGGTCTCCAACCAAAGAGTTGGAGTCAGCTCAGATCACGGAATGCAAAAGTTGCTGGAATAAAACCGACCGCTGTTGAACGGCTCCCTCCGATGTTTCAGCGTTAACCCGCGGCGGCCTGCGTCGCCTTGGAAGTGAGTCTAAGCCGAATCTCTGCCATCGAATGTGGGCCTATTTTTAAACATCGTGCCGCGCACCATTCCTGCACGTGCTTGTACTGGCGCTTGCAACTCCAGTCGATCTAACTACGACCACTGTGACAGCTGAGGAATCTGCTGCTGTCACAGCAGCTAGCAGCTAGGGAGCCTGAGCCCCTGCAACTTCTGCGGCTTTCATTGTCATAGAGTCTAGAAGCTGCCTCTGCCAAGCCCGGATTGGGAAAGCGTAGTTGGGGGGAGGTGGCTGGTGGTGGTAGTACTCGTAGTAGTCGTTGTCGTCGCCGTAGTAGTAGTAGTAGTAGTAGTAGTAGTAGTAGCAGCAGCAGTAGTAGCAGCAACAAGATCAACTCGAGCAGCTTGCCCCGAACATGTTTCGGAACTTGCCCCCAATCTGCCCCAGACCTTATTTCGGCTGAAAACCCCAGAGGAACAAGACTGGAAACGTAGAATTAGGAGGGTGGGAGACTGGTTTCCATGGTTTCTGTGGGGCCTGCTTCGCGCTGGCTTGCAATACGCATTGAAAGCAATCAAGTCCAGGGTCGGATCTTCAAGTTTTGGAGTCGGCACAGTCAGCAGACGGAAAAACTGAGCCGAGCACAGTTCAGTCAGTTGAGTCAGTTCATGTGTTTCGCGCACGATGACTGATTTGCCGGATGTGCAGCTGGACTCGCCCTCATCCAGCCGCAATCTGGGGCGAGCGAACTGGAATGAGGTTTCCTTGGATCTGCCTTCGCCCACCAGTTCAGCGTCGCCTCTTCGCCTACCCTTACGAAGCCGCTCTGCAGCTGCGCTTTGGCAGAATGCCCGACTGAGCCTCGTGGCATCGCCTTCGCGCCTGGACCAAATCTACAGCACGGAAGCCGAAGCCGAGGGGCCCGGGAGTGACCCGACCAGTCGGTGCTCCAGTCCGGATGGCTACCAGCGACGGGCAGCGAAAGAGCTGCGTTTCGACCCGGGCAGCCTGAGCTTGGAAAGCCTCGCCTTGGAACGACGCTTGGCACCAGAGAGAGAGGAGTTTCTATGCCGGCAACTTGACGAAGCCTCAGACGAGATTGACCGTCTCTGCATGGAACGAGATGATGCCTTGAAGAAGGCTCATGATCTTGCGAAGGTCCTTCGGGAGCAGGATTTGGCGCAAGAGAAGTCTGCCAGAGACTCTGTCCCGGCAGCACGCCAGCACCACGATGACGGGAACAGCTCTGACGACAACACGGTACATGGGCGTGAGCGTAGAAGAGCATCATGCCCTGCGAATTGGCCGCCACCAAGTCCTGAGCAAGAGGCAGCCAAGCCTCCTAAGCCTAAGGTGGACAGTGCTTCTATTTTTGCTGAACGACGCCACTGGCAGCAAGAGCTTCAGGAGTTCGAAAGCTACCAAGACAATCTGAAGCAGACAGAAATGGAATTGAAGGAGGAGGTGCGGGCTGCATGGAGCGAGTCACAGTCGGCGATCGAGCGTGAGAAGCCCAGTATCACATGCTTCTGCTAAGTGGGTGTGAACAAAACCTGCTTCTGCTCGTGTTGCTGCCAGAGTGTTCTTCTAACATGAGAGAGGACGTTTCTCAGCTTACAGACCAATCCAGTAATTGTTGATCTTAACTGCCGCCTCAACCATGCAAGGCATGACTTTGCAAGAGGTCCAGATGGAAGTGTGGCGAAGCGAGGTCGCACAGGCAAGAAAGAGTGGCGACTACAAGCAAATAAGCGATTTGCAGCCGCGCTGTTGCATGCTGTTTCAGTTTGTCGTGAAGCTTCCCTTCGGCAGGCTCGCGAGATGCAAAGTGAAGAAGCCGTCATGCGATACAAAGAGTCCATCAGCTGCAGCGCCTGTCTTAGAAGTGTACTGCGCAGTGGGACATGGCCACAGTGCGGTGCACCTGAAGCCTCGAGCCAGGCGCGCAGCAACACAGGCTGAGGCCTCGAACCAGCCACGTGCAATTCGGAGACATCGTGTGGGGTGATTGCGCTGTGACAGAGCACGTGCTGCGAAGGCAAAATCTACTCACGACTCTGGCACTACAAGCCTCTCTGCTTGTGAGTGGATGCTTCGGAGCTTGGAGCCACACGGTGCCACTTGTCCCAAGAGCTGTAGCTGAACGCACCACGGGGAATCTGACTGGGCCGCCTTGGCCCTTGTGAGAGTCGAAGCGGGGGCTCTTGGCTGATGAACGTCCTTAGCTTGTTGGGGTTCTCCCACTTTATACGTACATTGCGGTGCGTACAAGCTCATGGGAGCTGGTCGTGAGGCTGGTGTCGTGATTTGTTGCCAGAGTGCTGAGGGGTACCGGAGAGATTGCCATGCAACAGAACCGAAAACATCGAATCCCGGATTCGCCCCAGACGGTTCAGACTGGGGCAGGCTGGGTTGCTGAGATGTGATTCTGCACTCACCTAGCAGGGAATGCAGTCAGGTTTGACATAATACGGTGTCGAACGGCAAATAATGATTGAACAATGCAAAGCTGTGACATGCACGCAGGCGGGCGGCTCTAGATCTCATGTGAAGCCAAGGCTACGAGCTAAAGATGCAGCTCCGCTACAGTCACTACAGAGGCTGGCTTCACCGGCTGTGCTTGCAACTCGTTCAGCTCAGCCAGCCAGGCAGCCGCACATTTCGACATCAGAGGCCCGGCTATGGAAACGCCTCCACCACATGCTTGTCCCTCGAGACTGAAAGGCAAGCGGCACAAGACTTTGCATGAGCAGGCTTCTGCAAGCAGTGTTTAGGTTCAGTAGCTCAAAAAGCGGTAGAACGTCTCGGGAACAGTCTAGAGGCAGCAGGGTAGCTTGAGCGATGCTGTCTGGTCAGAGATGATGACCAGCACCAGCTTGCCACCAGCTGTTCCGACAATCCTGGGCGGTGTCCATGGGCAGGAGCAGCACAGCAGACGCAGACAAATGCAGAAAGCCGATGCAAGTTTGTCGGTTTCGCTTTTTGCCTATCCATTCTGCTCAGGACAACGTGATTCTGGGAAGCGTTGGCTGGGTCGCAGTGGCGCTTGGTGCTGTGCTAACCTGTCGGTCTTCCAGCTGCAGCTATGGCTCGTCGCTTTTCGCTCCGGTTTTGCCGAAGCATGCAGCAACCCAACCAACGCAACACTTGTAAACAAACGAACGGACTCTCTGAGGTTTGCATTGCCTTGGACGCGACTGCTCCGAGACAAACGGGACCTGGAGCATGGCAGGATCAGCGACCTTGCCCCGGATCGTGGTAAAGACGATGGGTCCGGCTGCTTGCCTGGCACTTGCACAGCCAAGTGAACAGCCAGTGCCAGGTTCAGGGAGTCTCGACAATCTGAGGATGGGACATTCCAGCAGCAAGCCCTGCGATGCAGCTGCGCAGCTTAGCGGCCGTACGGCAAGAGAGATGCCCCTTCGGCGGTGGCGAGCAGATTTGCGAAGGCTCGAATACCGTAGTCGTACGGCAGGGCATCACGCCAGCCTCGCAGTTGCGCAACTTTGTGCCCGGCAATGTGCATCCAGAGTGGAGATCCCGTGATATCCCGGTCAACATCTCTGAAGGCCGGATGGAGACTCCCGCAATGGTGCTGGAGGATGCTGGTCACGCTCACCAAAGCCAGACCCCTGAGATGCAATCCAGACCTGCGAGAGTTGATGACGAACCTCCTGGGGAGCCCGACAATCGTTCCAGTCTCTCGGCCGATGGCGATGCAGACGGGGCCAGCAGCTTGCCGTGAACAAGCATTTTGCTTCTTCAGCAGACCGCAAGATTGAGTGGAAGAACCGTAGTGTTACATGGGCTCATGCAGGCTTTCGCAATGCTGATTCAAGTGAGGGCTGTGAGGGCAGTCATGCGCAGCAAAGTAGCCGTCGTGCCGTTTCTTGCGTCAGACTAGTCAGACTTGTGATATTTTGGTGGAACAGATCGGAAACCTGGAGATTTTGCATGCACCCGAAACAAATTTAAAGACGGCAAACTCAAACTTCAAAGCCACGTGGTCCCACCACGAACGTGGGGTTGACCTTTCCTAGTGTGTGAAGCGAAAACAAGCAACGTGTGGACTGTAGCAATGCTTGCTCAAACACATGCCGAGCATTTGCCAGTGCTGATGCTGACGATGCCGATGAAAAGCATACGCTTTGTTGTCTAAAGGTTGTAGAGTGTGGGGGAAGCGTCTGCCCAGGTAATTATATATTTGTTTTAGTTTGCGGCACTCTGGCTCATCTAAGGATGGGCCATTCCAGCAGCAAGCCCTGCAATGCAGCTGCGCAGCTTAGCGGCCGTACGGCAAGAGAGATGCCCCTTGGGCGGTGGCGAGCAGATTTGCGAAAGCTCGAATGCCGTAGTCGTACGGCAGGGCATCACGCCAGCCTCGCAGTTGCGCAACTTTGTGCCCGGCAATGTGTATCCAGAGTGGAGATCCCGTGATATCCCGGTCAACATCTCTGAAGGCCGGATGGAGACTCCCGCAATGGTGCTGGAGGATGCTGGTCACGCTCACCAAAGCCAGACCCCTGAGATGCCATGCGACCTTGAGGACTCCCTCACGCAGAGCCCCAAATCAGTTGAAGCATCAGCACCTGGTGTTAATCCAGCTCTGCACATTCGCGAGATACGCTCGTGCCTGGCAGTGCGACAGCAGTTTCGGGCAGAGCTTGAATCCCGGGTAGCTGATTTCGTTCAATCTGAAGAGCTGCTTGGTAGCATAATCAGGAACGAGAAGTCAGAAAGACAGCTCGAAGAGCGCTTGGCTGAGGCGAAGGAGGGAGGCAGTGAAAGCTCCCCCAAGCGAAAAGCTAAAGGCCCATACATGTTGTCTGTTGCCTTGAAGAACGTAAATGGAGACCGGTAGCTCCAGACCGTGCCCGGCCAATGTTTTCATGGGTGATCAAAACACGCTGAGTGGCTCCAGTTTCAGCTGGCAAGATCTGCTTCCGCACGTTTCACACCGAAGCCGGCTTTCAATGAAGGCAGCACCGAGATAGGTGGCAGTTTGTGCCACGCCAGCCCTCGACGTTTGCGAAGCAAATGCGTACCACGATTTAGTGTATGATAGATTTATAGCGTGCGCGACCGCAGACCTTGTACAGGCACGTGCACCAACCTCCACATGAAAACGAGAGCACATGGGGGCGGCGTTTGCATCAACGTGCCTCTCGGGAAACGGTTGTCCCAATCTCGTATTCAACCATATACAATTCACCGGGATTTGCATCCAACTCGTGGCACACTTCTGTCAAACTCTTCTGAAATCGGCGTCCCAGCCCCTCCCACCACGTGATAGGACAGTCATGCACGCAAATGACTGGACAGCGCAGCCAAGTCCTGACAATGTTCTAGCTTCATGCTTGGGTAAGATGGCGATTACCCAATCGGCCGCAGCATTGCCAGGCATTGGCGGATCTTGTGCTGCAGACTCGCCTCCTCAACATGAGTTTGGCAGAGTTGCGCTGCGCACAAGATGCTGCACGCAGAAGTTGGGTGCTGCCCTTACACCACGGCTTCCAGAACTTGGCTGCGCACTGGAAGTAGGTTTGCCAAACAGAGAGAGTGTGTGCTGTGGATTGTGCCACTGGTCTTCTCAAGATTCAGGCCAGGATCCCTTCCGGAGGCCAGACCACGAGCAAGAATCAGGATGAGATCTCACCACAAGGGGGTGGCCCTGCGGTGTACAAGGTTGTACATGGTTGAGGATCCGTGCTTCTCTGACCCTGCAAGTTGCACACCATGTGAAACCGAAGATAACTAGGCGTTCCTTGAAGGCACCTCCTACACTTGAAACCCGAAGCCAGGGTGAAGCATCATCGGCTTTGCGTACTTACGCTTTCCACGCTGGCGCCGACAGCATGATGCTTCATAGGTCAAGACCTTAGAAAGCAAGAGTTGGTGCAAATTTGATTGCAATGCCGTGACACCGCGTGTAAGTGGCAGTTTGTGCTTCAAAGAGACAGTGGAGCATTCTGCCACCCGGTTCCACGTCGACCTGACTTTCTGCAAAGCTGAAGGTTAGAAGGGCAAAGTTCGTTTCCCTGTAGTTACTCCGCAATCGTCGCTTCCTCTTCTCTTCCTCGCACAAGCTTGCTTTAAAGACCATCGTGCCATCAAGAACGTCAAGCCGAGACGCCGAGATGCCCAGAGCCAGAACTGGCACGGAAGGCAACCGGGTAGACTGGCAGGGCCGGTCGGCCCATCGGATTTACAGACTGAGTGAGCGATCGATAGCCGAAGGCCGAAAACAAAATAATCACCAAAAAAGACCTCGAGTGCAGCCTCAGTTGTCGCCACCCCTGTGACTCTTGCAAGTTTTGTGTGTGGACCGAGCCGACAACCAACAACAATATCAAGAAAAAACAAAAATACCAAAACAAACCTGGACCACGACCACCACCACCACCACCACCACCACCACCATAAGAGCAACCAACGTGCAGCATGTGCTTCCGTGGGCTGTTGCAGCCGAGCCAACCCCCTGGTTCAACGAGCATTGCCCGGGAGCTCGTACAAGCAGCAAAGATGGCCTTAGCTTTGGACAGCGTCGATGGCAGAACTGCAGTGCACCAAAACAGAGTAGAGCGGCCAGACATGTTGACACATCAAACACAAGCTGCACGGCGGTGTCATTTGATCCCAGGAGACACCCAGCTCGTTCACGAGGCCGTCCACTTCACGATGGGAGGTGAAGCAACCTCGTCCACGACCCAAGCAAAGCAGCGCTCTTCGACCCGGTTGTGTCGGCCTGGGACATGCTGAGACCAGGAGGGACCAGGCCACTCTCCGACCGCGCGATGACTGTGAGCCTGTCGAGGATTCCAGCGAATCGCGAGCCGGGCCCCTTTCGACTGGCACCCGCGTGGCGGATACACTAGCTCTCATGCAGTGGCCTGCTTGGCCGATGTGTCGAGCTACTGCGACGCTCATGACTTCTGCATCTTCTGCCTCGGGGCCTTTCTTTGCGAAGACGTCTTCTTGGCTGCGGAGCTTCTGCCTGCTCTCTTGAGTTTGTGGAGTTCTTGCTGGGCGATTATGTTGGGCTTTGGCTACGACATTAGGATGAGCTTGGCTTCTTTAGGCTTCTCTGCACCTGCTGTAATTAGCTGGGACGAAGCTGCTGGCCTTTGGCATCCCGCTGGGCAAGGATGATGGCACCTACCAGTAGCCTGCGCAGTGTGCCAAGTGCAGTACACACACATGTGTGTACATACAAATATAATGATATAATTGTCTAAACGTGTATATACATATATTTTATAATGATATAACTGTGTAAATGTGTGTATATATATACACATATGTATAGACGGAGAGACCCCGGCAAATGGCGATGTTTTCATCGTGTGTTGTGTTAATTTGGACAGCTTGAAAAGCAGCGGACCTCAGTGCTGCCACCAGCCTGCATGATGTGTGCTTTGTGAAGTGTTATAGGTCAAAGTTTTGAGTCGCCGCTGCCGCCCCCGACAAAAATGTGATCCTGTATAAAACCGCATCTCCTGTGACAGCGAGATGTGCGATCACAAGATTCCCAATGGACCGTGCCAGTTTGATGCGCAAGACAGAGAAAGCGTCTTGCACCACGGTATGTAATGTGCTCATATGGGCTCTCAGGGCTTCGGTGCCTGAGCTCGCTGCATGCAGCACGCCACTGCCCGTTGCACTGCACCATTTTCTGCCGAGTTTTTGCGCCCGCATCTTTCGCTGACAGCCCGTCTCCCCAAGCCATGCTGCTGCTACTCCTTGCAACTTCAGCATTCCTCCAGCTGACTGAGGGCGTGGACATCACTCAGGAGTGGACCAAGTACTATTCGGCTACCGGGGCCGAGGTTCTGCTACGCTCCATGGTTCCCTACGACCACGATGAAAGCTACTTCGTGTGCGGGACGCTTTGCTTGAAGACTTAAGCCCCTGCATAGTATCCTGCGCAGAATCTTCGTAGGTCGCTGGTGCCTTGTCTTGCCACGTGCTAGGTACGGCGCAGGCTCCTTCGTTGATAATTCTACGCAAGTCGGAATGATTGATGCAATCCTCGCCAAACTTGATGCATCCGGAAACCTTCTCTGGAGCCATCAATTTGGCACGACCGACGACGACTATGCGGAGAGTGTGGCAGTGAGGCACAACCGTATCTACGTCGTGGGAAACACCCGCGGCGTCATGCCAGGGCAAGAGAATGCTGGTTGGGCCGACGGTTTCATAAAGGCTTTTGACATCTCGGGCAATGAGGCGTGGACTATTCAGTTCGGATCCAACCAGGATGATTATCCACGAGTTGTGAAGACAAGCCACGTCGGTCATGTGGTGGTGGCCGGCTACACCTACGGAGGGCTTTACAGCAGAGTCACTGCTGGAGCTGGCGACATGTTCGTCGTCATGTACGCCTCGAACGGAAACCGGATCTGGCGTGCACAGAGAGGAAGTAGTGGAAACGAATTCGCCTGGGCCATGGATCTTGACACCAGCCAGGATGTGTATATTGCTGGGGACACCACCGGTAATCTGGACGGTCAGACATTGGTTGGAAGCGAGGTCTTGGTTGGGGAGTGCAGCTTTGGGCTTGTGCATGTTCCACTAAAGATTTTGTACGGTTTTATGGGATTCTGGGATATTCATGCCCTCGCTGTACTGTAAGGGTTTCAGAGCCACTTCGTGACAGGATATGTTCCTGATGAAGTTCCGTGGTAATGACGGCACGTGGCTGTGGACCATTACAAAAGGAGGCACTGCCAGTGATCGTGGTCGGGCTTTGTGGGTGTCCAGCCAGATTTTCCTCCTGGTTGACACCAAAAGCACGCTCTATGGCTCGGAGGTCTCCAACTCGACCTGGGATGTTGCCCTCATCAAGTACGATCTCGATGGAAATGAGATCTCCGGGGCGCAGGTGGGCAGTGCCAGCGAGATCTATGGGTACGACCTAAAGCCAGGATTTGCGGGAGGTTGGTTCGCAGCAGCACGCTTGAATCCCACTTCCGAATCGGTTCCGACACACTTTGCAGTGCTCAAGTTCGATGAAAGCTTAGCACATGAGTATACCTTCTCGGCCGGATGCACTGATGGAACGTCTCTCGGATGGGTGGTGGAGCCTCATTGGAACTACCCTCTCATGGCCGCTGGCTATACGAATTGTGCCCTTGCACCCGGTTCGGATGGGCCTACCGATGGCAACTACGACATGTTTCTGACGAAGTTCGTGCCAGGCTCACCCACCACAAGCACCACCACGGCGGCAGGAGATTCTAGCACCAGCACGGGGGACGGAACCACGGTCTCTTCAGACAATACGGATGGTTCGCAGGCGCCAGGCAATGCCACAAGCACTCTGCCTGATGGCATCTCAACCGATTCCTCAATTTCGGCTTTTGCGGGCGGCGTAGTTCTTTTTCTCTTGGCGTCGCAGGTGTGAGTGCCATAGGCTCTTCAGCACAGGCTCTCGGAAAACCCGACTTCAAGATCCTAAGTGTTTGAATTTAAGGGTTTAAGGCTCCCCAAGGGACCATTCTGTACATGTACTTCGTGCGTATTTCAAAATCATACATTGTCGCGCCATTATCCTGGATGGATCTCAACGGCGAAATCTTGCTAAACTAGATGTGCTGGCTTGCAGAAGTGCTTCGATGTGTTCGAGCATTCACCGGCTCTATACCCGACTGGATCGCGACAAAATCCACCGATACTGTCCGAAATGATGCACAACATGGATGCTCTAGTTCGCGTGGCCATGCAAGAGCATGTGCGCATTTGCTTGCTCACTCAGTTCAGCTTGAAGTCATGCCCACCGAAAACGCATGAGGGCGCCAAAGCATGAATGCCTACTCGAAGCCCTGCCACCACCGGGCCAGAGCTGCTAAGCCTCAAGCCGGGAATCCTTCCTCGCAGCTGCGTTTGCGACATGTCTTGGCTTGCAGCTCCTGGTGCAAAAGAATCCAGCCGGTGCCCCAGCCACCAGAGCCTCTTGGGCCTGCTCCGGCAAAAGACTGTCGCTTGACGTGGTACGAGCAGACAGGACCGGTGGGTCCCTTATCGTTTGGGGGAGGTCTGCTTCAGTTCAAGAGTCTGAAAGCACCTTTGGCCAAGCTGCGCAGCTGAAGTCTTTAGGTTGTCGGACAAGCAGACCAGGCACCTGATGTCCGGAGCTCAGAGACCATTGTGAAACGACGCCCTACGGTAGGGCTCTAGAGCCTCGCTGAGTATCCTTAAGCGAAAGAGCTGACGCGCAGCCATTTTGGCCGGCTTTGGCCATGGCGGGCCTTTATGGCAGGGCATGGTTCGTTCGGATGATGATGTACTTAAGCATAGGTGTCCCCAACTAGGCAGAGAGGCCGTCTAGGGCCTTTTTCCATCCCCTTTTTTTCTTTTTCAGTCGGACGAACCATCGCTCTGGGCCCGGCTCCCCGGCTCCCGGCCCCTTCCACCGGCCTTCTTCGAGTCATGGCTGCCTGCGTTGCGAGCACGGCGCCATTCGCAAGATACGAGGCTGGTCGGAGAAGTTGGAATAGGGATGGCATGGGATGGAATGGGATGGAAGGGTGAAGGGGTTACGGTTTGTGATGCCGGCCTGTGCTTGCTCTGACCCCAAGGATCGCATGGTTCAGTGGGCCAGTGCGGCCACCAGCGCTCTTAGCCTGTGGTGCACGGACCTTGGGGAAGGATTGCTTCCAGAGCTGGTGGAATGGATGGGAAGGTCGGACACCGAGTTGGAGGTGCAGACGGACAGGAAGATGATCTCAACGCCTCCTGGTGAGCTTTACGGGAAACCGGCAACGAAACCATCGGGTCCAAGCCCGACGCTGTGGGCGGAGGAGGATACTCTGGAAGGGCAGCTTGCGTCCGAGATCAACAACGTGGCGCAGTGGCGCTCCGACGCCAACGTGATCGAGGCGGGGGCGTACTCAGCAGATTCAAAAACCCGCAACTCGTACGTCAAGAGACGCAGAGCCGGCAACTCATGTGCAGGAGCAGAAGAAGAAGTGCACTTTTCGCAAGCGCATCTTCGAGGCCGCCCGGAGGACCCGCGAGGACGGGAGCCAAGGGGGGAGCAGGTCCCAGGTCTCCGCTTGCTGGGGACTTGGGCCGGGTTCTGGGGATTTTACCGTAGCGCATGCGGAGAGGTCTCCATGAAGAAGGTCTTCGGCGTGCTGTGTGTGGACGGCTTGACTCGGGAAGGCTTGGTCGAGGCGGCCGCTCTCGAAACTGCAACGAACTGCAACGAACATCCTCTAAGAGCTCCTCTCTTTGCTCTCTTTTTCAGGACGGCGCAGAGCTGCAGAGGTACCATGTCGTCTGCCGTGGGATTACCCGAGAGAGGCTCAGGAGCTTCAAGGGATCGAGAAAAGACGCCTTTCGTGTCCAGCTTGCGGGGAGATGCGTTGCTTTGCCATAACTGATGTTGCTATAACTGATGAAGAGTGCGACTGCAACAGGAGCGATCATCTTGATGAGGAGGCCCTCGCATCCATCCGGGCGAGCTTGTTTCGCCTCTGTCAAGGCCACTGGCTCCGAAGTTCTCCCGAGCAATGCCCGCTGAGTACTGCAACAGTCGCCCAGAGACCCAAACCCAGAAGCCTCCTCCACAGTCCACATCCGCGGCATTGAAGGACACCGGCCTCTTGCCGGCCTCACTGTCGACCTGGGCTATCTGTGGATGAAGCATCAGTGCGCCCTGCGCCGGCTTGTTCCCCGGTGGCTGCTGCTGACGACGCCCCTTGTGCAACTGCCCTTGATCCGGACATGCTTCAGATCCACGGATGTTACACTCCTGGTCGTATGGGAAGATGCTGCAGTCTCCGAGCTCAGCTGGCTGGAAGCATCGTCGAATATCCGCATCGACGGTCAGGTGGAGGTCATGACTGTCCGAGCCTCCCAACCAGGGTGGTCCGATTTCCTGTCAAAGCAGGCCGACAAGGAGCAGGCTTTGTTACTGGACTTGGTGGACAGGGTACAGATGAGGGTGGCGGAATTGTCTCGCAAGGAGCGCCGAAACTTCGTGGTGTTCTTGAACTTGTCTGGTACAGTAGTAAGCCACGAGGCATGCCTTTTAATTCAATCAGCAGACCCCATGTTCCTGTCCTGTACCTGTCCGCAACCCCTGAACTCCCCGCCAAAAGCGACAACAGCAGCGACAATTCCTGACAGGACGTCGCAGTCAGCAGCATCCTTGTAGACGGTGCATTGAGCCGGTTCAGCAAGGGCTTGAGAAAGGCCACGCAGCTGCCTATCTTTGATGAGGCGGATCGCATGAATCAAGTGAAAGCCAGGTTTGTCAGAAGATCTCATATACATTCTGTGATCTCCATTTGTATCTGAAGAGATCTGGCTGCTTGTTCCCGCGGCCTATGTAGCAAAGGCATTTGTTAACGTTTATTGTTCTCAGATGTTTAGGTACGGGTTCAGCAGCCATCTGGGTTTCTGGGGTCCTGGGGAAGTAGGGACAGTCAGCACAGTGTCGGGGAAGCTGTCATTCGTACTTTTCTGAGGGTGTGTTCTGGGTTAGGTATCGCTGAGTTGTTGCCGAGGGTGAGAGGCTTGCTCTTCGCAAGTCATTGTCTGACGTCTGCTAGCAGGGAGACATGAACTCCACCACCAGGTTTCCATGATGGGCCTTTTCACTACTGCCTCCTCGAATGCTCCGGCTCGAGGTTGTACTTTCTTCAGCTAGAGCAACGAAAAGCCTTAGGCCTGTTCGGCGAGATTATGGAGGAGCAGCTCAGACCCGAAGCTTCGCAGGAGCAGGCAACTCAGGAGTCCAAGCGACGGAGGATGCAGATGGGGTTCTCCGTGCAGGTGCTTGTGAGCGGCGGTGGGGAGAGTTGTTAGGACTCGGTGGCGCCTCCTCCACGCAAGATGTGGATAACCACATGCCGAGCAACCGATCTGGGTAAGGAGGCAGTTCCGGAGCAAGAGGAGGGCGGAGAGAGTGAAGAGGATTTTGTGGTCCGAAACGGAGCCGGCTGCTTCACAGGAGCTGCTTAGGCTTGGTCGAGCCAGGGAAATAAAAGCAGAGGCACCTGAGGAAGAGGCAGCAGTGGAAAAGGCGATTCGGCATGAGGCCAGTGTTGCCCTTCCCTTGCAGCTCGTCAAAGTAGAAGGAGGCCTCGGAAGAGGCTTGGAAGGAGGCAGTGAGGTGAGCACGCAGAGCAGCATGCGCGCCCTCATGGGCGAGATGCTCCAGCAAATGAAAGAGCAAAATCGGCAGCAAGCCGAATAAAATAGAAGCTGTCTAGCTCAGCAGAAGGAGCAGAACGACCGCATGCACGAGTTATGCAAGATGACAGTATCGCAGCAGCGAGAGGCCCCAGCAGCAGCTGCCATGTCACCAACTGCCACGGCCAGCAGACCGCCTTCCCTGCAGCGACCCGTTACTGTTCGCTCGTGTAGGTCGTCCATCCCGTGGAAGAGTTGTAGCAGAGTCGTCCCCACCTGTCCCGGTGTGGCCTCCAGCAACACGGGCTTGTAGGCGAGGCTGTCGTCCTCGCACTTCACGCTACACAAGAAATCGACTCGGCCCATGTACCTTCCACAGTACCTGGACGAGCAGCTCAGCAACTTGCAAAGCAACGCAAACTACCGAAGGAAGTTGCCGTCCACCATGGACCTCAGCCGCTTGACGGTCTACAAGCCAGAGCTCCTGCACTTCAGTGACAGCCTCGAAGCACTGATGCAGGCCCCTGGGACTTTCATCTATAAAACACTTCCACTGCTCACGTCATTGGGGGAAAGGGAGGTGAGCAGTGAACTGTTCATTCCCCTTGCGAACCAAAGGAAGCTCACTGCTCACCTCGCTCGGGGCTTATTGCAATTAATCACCCATTAGCTTCACTTGTTGGCCCAAGGCAGAAGACCTTGCCGCGACTCAACCTGAACCATGCAGAGTTGCTCTTCCGCCCTCCTGCTGCTTGGCAAAGTGCAAAGCAGCGGGCGGTCCAGCCATCGTTGTTTAGGCACACATCGAAACTGTGCTCATCCCACATGGAGACTGGCTTGGCAGCTGGTGGTGCTGGCCGCGCTGGAGCCTGTGGTGCCCAGTTCCAGCTGGGAAGATGAAGCGCCCAGCTGCTGCGAAGCGATAACGGCCGCTCAGTAGCAGATTCATGCTCAACCTATTCGCCCCGAAAAAACCCCAGCAGGAATGTTTCTGCTCCTCCCGCTCCTCAGGTACGTCAAGATGACCACGACCCTGACAAGGGCACAGTCCCATGATGATTTCGGTGCGCCTGCAGCTTGGTTTGAAGTTTGGGATTTAGGGTTATTGAAGATTGCGTTCAGAGTTCAATGTTTGCAAGAGTTTTGAGTTCGGGTTGTTGTGGTTTTATCAACCATGTGCACTTCTCAACCACTCTCCTCACTCCTCACCATGCTCACTTCTCACCCTCATCACCAAACTCACTCCTCACCCTGCTCACCCTCCTCATCCTCCTCATTCCTCACCCTGCTGAAACTGCTCACTCCTCACCCTCCTCACCGTCCTCGCTCCTCACCCTCCTCACTCTCCTCTCTCCTCACCCTCTTCACTCCTCACCCTGCTCACCCTCTTCACTCTCCTCACTCCTCACTCTCCTCACACTCACCCCCCTCAACCTGCTCACTCCTCATCCTCCTCATCCTGCTCACTCCTGCACACTTTACTTGCCCTCATCATCCTGCTCATTTCTCAAATGATCTGAGGTATCTGAAAATCACCACGTCCCTACAGCGGGCACGGTGACCTCATGTTCTATGCCCTGAACAGGGCATGGTTGCAGTCAACTTTCACTATGCTGCATGATTGGCTGTTGGCGTAGCATCGTTCATCTTCAATATGCACTGCAGAGCTGAACTGATACATGTGTGTTAACATCTACATTCTACATCCTTCTGTATTGCATTTCTCGACAACAGCTGCCTTCAAGTGCAGTTCAAACCTCTTCGTTCATCACCTTTATGCAGCTGACCGCCGGGTTTGAAAATGAGCAATGCCTTGAGACGCAGTCGGCGGGTCTCCTCTTCGTTTCCCTGGTTGTGCTTCAGGCAATCCCACACTCCAAAGCGAGGTTTTGTGTTGAACTCCACCGGCAGGTGTCTATGATGGGCCTATTCTCTACTGCCTCCTCGCTGAGCGAGTTCAGCGAAGCCAGCGTGGTGGGTCGTTTGGAGGACAGGCTGCAACGGAGTGGCAACGGCCCCTCGCCGTTTTTGCTCAGCAAATGTGTTATTTCATGCAGATTTGACAAGGGATTTGCCACCCGTGCCGCTCTTGGACTTTGCGAGGTCAGACCCAGAGCTCGGTGCGAGACCGGCCGACAGCAGGCCAACTGGGAATCGTCCAATTGGACTCGTATGAGTACGTGCGGGCCGTGGGCGATGCTGACCATGAGAGCACCTTCAGCTTCCAGACCTGTCCACGCGTGGCGCAAGGCTGGGTGGTAGTTTTATGACAGTTTTTTCTAGCTACAGGGGCAGAAGTCAAGAATGGACCCGCATTGCCCTGAAAATGCCCGCGCAAGAATGGGCTCTCAACGAGGTAGCGCGAAAAAATGCACGCACACAACGGAAATATGTGAAGGCACAAGAATGGACGCACAAATGTGCTGTGGCCTTGTGCAGGTATTGGGCCCGTACCTGTGCGGGCATTCTCTTGACAGGCCGGGCTTTCCCACAAAGGCCCTCCCAGAAAAACTGCCCGCACATTGCGGCACAGCTACAGGCCTGCCCGCACGATGCCTGCGCAGGCCCGCACGTACAAACGCATCTCGCGGCCTTCTGTTACCGTATCTGTTGGCTAGGTTCCGAGTCGGGTGCGTTCTGTCATCACATTTCGCGGAAGGCACTAAGTTGGATGCATCAAGGAACGCCTGTTGGGTGCGTTATTTTGGTAGTTATCAAAGCCTTGGTGTAGCCGAAGGAATGTCAATGATAGTAACGGTGAAGGCCGAGCAACCGCGAAAGCAGATTGCAGCACCCCAGGCTTGAGCTTCGAGAAGGCGCAGAAAGCAGCACAGGAGCCAGGGATGCTGGAGAGCTTGAGGCAGCTGGCCAAGGAGATGGAGACGGCGCACTGTTTCGGCATTGCGGGGAACTGCGGCTTCATGCAATTCTACCAGGCCGAAGCCTCAAGCCGACTTAAGCCAAAGAGCTACGTGGTGGGCTTGGACACTCTTGGACTTGTAGGTCTTAGGTGCAAACGGGTGTCCTCAGTCAAGCCATCCCCCAATGCCAAAACCTCGCGGTCGTGCAGGCCTTGGTCAGGGAGGCTGTCAGCGTGCCCGTGTTTCTGAGTGCCCTGGTCCAAGTGCCCACGATGGCTGCGGCCCTCGACCCTCGCGACAGGCATTTGCCCGGGCTTTGAGTGTGGCTGAAAGAGACCGTAGAGCGAGAGAAAAATAAGAGAGAGTTTGACCGAGTACATGTGTGCATCTTACCTTTGACAAGCCTGCGGCCTCGAATCATGGAATCTCTTCTGCAGTCACCAGGATCTTGATCCTCACTGCCAATGAGACGTCCTTTCGGGAAGCGCAGGCAGCAGAGCCGTGAAGTTGAATCGGAACTTCGCGGTGCCTTCGGGTGTAAGGTTTGCAAAGGACGTGTTGCGCTCTTTGCAAGGGCGGGAGGCGCTCGTAGTGCATGAACATGTATTTGTTCACTTTCCTGCTGAGTTGCTTTGGGGCGCGGGCGTCGTGCTGCTTTGCTTGGATCTGGTCTTTTCAACGTTTGGTCGGGGAATGCGGGGAGCACGGTGCGTTGATTTGCGTTGTGCGGCGGAATGACACCGTTGCTGCCGAAAAACAGGGGCGTTTCTTGGCTAATTACGTAGAACTGAAAGGAATGATGATTTGGGCGTCAGTCCGCGAGTCATGTCTGTCAAATCGGCGACTCTTGGCTATGGAGGCACATGGACTGCATAAAATGCTGGCTCCGTGGTGCAGTTTAGTCAAGTCAGCTCCAGTTCATCCGAGACGTATCCACAGGCGCTGCATGCTGACATATGCTGTGGAAACTGACTAGCAATGAATGTCAGAACTGCGAGTTGGCTGGCGAAGCCAAAAAATGCAGCATTTGTGGTTATAGTGGGCTTCGGACAGGTGGAAAACTGCACAGCTGGTTATTGTATAATCTTGAGTTCTGGTTTCCCGCTGGGCTGCGAGCTTGACAAGCCCAAAAACCTGTTCTTATACTAGCTTACCTTGTCAGGTAAGCATTCTCGTTCGAAATATTTTCAGGCACGATGTTATCCGGTTATCTGGATTGCTGGCGCAGACTTTGGAGAGCAACTGCAGTAATTGGACTGCAGCGTCGCAGCAGGTTGCAGCTTCCTTATCACTCATTCGGCTTGTTGAATGGTGTCTTGCAAAAAGCTTCCCGCGCCGCAGAGTCTTTCTAAGATTGACAGATAGCTGCACATTAATCGGAGATTTTTTCGCACAAGGGTGGGCAGGAGGGCGGGAAAGACTTTCGGACCTGCCTTCTGCGTACAGGAGCTCCTGCTGCGCGCAGAGTGCTGCAACGTGGCTTTGGATCAGATCGTGGTGAGAGGATGCGAGGATGTGCCAGGCCGATTTCCAGGGCCCCACTGACCCTTCGAATCCCTTTAGAAGGAGTCCTCGACCCCCCTCTGTGAGATAGGTTTCGAGGCCGTGGCCAAGATGGAGCAAGTGGACACTCAGAAAGTCGAAAACAGCCTCAGCCAGTTTGTTGAGGCGGGGGTGTGCGCTACTATAGTATGCACGCAGCCCTGAGCCTTGATGGGTGTAATGGGCGGTCGTGGCAGGAGATCCTTGCCGAAGGCGATGGTGCTTCCATCAAGATGATCGTCCTGGAGTGCACGGAGTTACCCCATTACGCCGCCAGACTGCGCCAAGTCAGTGGCTTGCCCGTTTTGGATCTCGTTACATGTGCCAACTTTTTTGCCAAGGTGTTGGTAGGGAGCTTTTGATCGGCTAAGGGACTACCCCACCACTGCAGTTCTAGATCGTAGCAAGAGCGAGTTCGACTATACTTCGTAGGGGCCTTGGCGGGTGATCGGCAGGGGCAGTCCCTTTGCCGGTGTTTGTCGCTCTAACGAATTGGTGCGCAGATCCGCTGCCGGGAAGCCTCCCGGGAGTGTCACGCTGGCCTTCCGTACGTAAGATGTGGGTAGTTCTCTAAATTATGGTCCCTTTTTGGGTCCTTATTCTAATACGGCACCTATTATTTGGGGTACCCTAAAAGGGACCCTAATTTTGACAACCACCCATGTGTGTTTTTGACAGGGTTTAGGGTTTCGGGTGCCTCTCTGAAGGCGAACAGGGTTGGGCCCGACAGTGGTCGCACTTGCTGCAGTTTTGGCCACGTTTTCTGTGGCGAGCAACTGGCCGAATTTGCCTGGTTGCAGGTTTCTTGTCGCGGGGCATGGGGTCTTGAGGAGTCATGACTACACCGTCAAGACTGCGTATCAGCGTGCGCCGCCAAAGCTAGAACACTGTTCCTCGTGACTCCGGCATTTAGCGATTTTGGAGCTGCCCGCGATGCCCAGAGAAATGCAAAGTTTTTGCTGAATTCACTGCAGAAGTGGTTGCCAATTCGTTGAGGGCCGAGAACTCGGCCGAATTCAGTTTGACATGCATCAGTCCAAATACCCTCTGTACATGATGTAAAAACTTGTACATAGTCCATAATGCCTGTCAGCCCAGAACTGCGTGGACGAGGCATGCTCTCAGCTCGAGACTCCTCGTCCACGTCTTGGGGCGCAACTCAGCCTCTCAGCTGGATCCCTGGTACACTTCGAACCGGCCCACATGATCTTCTACGGAATCTCTGTATAAGTCTTTTGAGAAGTTGTTGTTCTCTTCTTCCCTCAAAGTGCCAGGGGGGGACCCCAATTGAGAGACTTCGGAAGTGGAATGCGGTGAGCTGCCACTGCCTCGGGCACCTTGGGCCGCCTTGTCGGAGCTTGCCGAGTCGGAGATCGCCGCGAGTCGAAGGGGAAAATGACTGCTGGCGCCTTCAGCCTTCATGTATTTTCATGTGTCTATATAATATGCCCATGAGCCGATCCCATCTCTTTCCGAAGTCACGCTGCTTCTGCATGGATCTGCATACTGTAACCTTCGTTGGAACCTGCAGAGCCTGAGGAATGGAGTGGCAGCTCACTGCAGAGAGCCAGCCCTCTGAGGCAGTCACTTCAAGCACGGTGCACGTGGGTCTGCGGCAGTTCCAGAGTCTAGATAAAGAACTCCAGCCCTAAAGACGGGCTACTGTGAAACAGCATCGACGGTGGTAGATTGCTTGTGCGCAATTCACAGACAGCTAGTTCCTACGTGATTAGAGGTTCCCTGAATCATCAGATTGCCCTGACCTAAGACACTTCTTAAGACGACTTCGAGTGTCTGGGCTGAGTCGCTAACTTTGAGGCATGGAGAGCCTGTTTCAACCGGGCCATGGATTTTCATGCAGCTGCACGGTCTGCTAGAAGATCAAACTTACTCACTTTGCGATGTCAGATATGCCCCGCCTGCAGCTAGAGTAACAGTAGCTGTGGAAATCTCCGCTTCCAGCAGTGTGGCGGCTCCAACTGCTTCAATTAAATATTGTCAGATCGTCAGACTTCAGAGAGCGTGACGTTGTTAGCCCACAAGTTGTCGAAACCGAATAGGTGAATGCATGCCAGAAGTTTCCTGGCGCTGTAATCGGCGCGCAGGTTTCGTGGTGTATAGTCTGACGGGCTCACAAAGAAGCTATACCTTTGCCGGCTGGAAGTCGCACACGCCATGCGCAGGCTCGTCCTTGATAGAGGGTTTGCACATCGGTACTCAACGTTTGTTGCTGGCTTCGTTTTGCTTCGGCCCGGGACGCGTCTGTCGCATGGATGTGCAAATGCACAGAAATGTCGATCCAGCTAAACCTATGGCAGATGACGTCGCCGAGCTGAATGTTGTCAACTCAACAGGNNCCTGTTGAGTTGACAACATTCAGCTCATCGGCGACGGTCGATTAATTAGAGTGGCATCGGAGGTAGGGCCAGCGCTGGGGTAGTGCAGAAGTCACAGTGGAGGACGGCTTGCATGTGTCATCCATGATGTCATGTTGCGGCTCGCGGCCACCGCATGGATGTTTTTGAGGACCTTCGCATCTACTGCGTGCGGGATGCGAGCAGAAAGCCTGAAGCTGTCCTGTTCGCGTGAGTTAGGTACTGTCATGTCCATGTGCAACTGACGCCTGTGAGTATCAGGCTCATGACAAGGATTCACGAAGGGTCTTCAACACAGGGAGCGGAACATCGCCGGACATTCGCGGCTCGGCTGGCTCGAGCGCGCTTCATGTAATATTAAGATCATAGTACTGAGAGAGCTTTCCGCAGAAGACGGAGTTTTCGCGGGATGGATGCGCGCTGCAGTAGTCTCCATGCGCTCCGCCTGAGTGCTTGTCTTCTGGTGGCCCAGGCGATCGGGCATAGAGTCGGAGCTCCCAACCTCCCGTCGCTGTTTTGAATCATGCAAGAGTAAGAGATGGGCCATGTGCGGCCTTGGCCAAGTGTTCACAGCAAGGGCTGTGAGGCACGAGGTGCAAGACTTCAAGAACTTCATTAGCTCAGATAGTGTCGATCAGCACGTCTGGGCGGCAGAGGTCCGAGGTGCGAAGTGCAAAAATGCGCGTTTAGCGACGCTGCATTCCGCACCCTCTCCTCCAACTGACTCCAACCTGCAAGTCAACGACATGTGGCAGCAGTGAGTACCTTCGAGCCCACGCGGCCCGTCCTTTCACATAATCCTTGTCTACTCCATCCGGATGTTTACTTTGTCATTTGCCAGGCGACTTCGCGTAGGGTTAAAGCTCCTGTTGCCATAATCGATTTTGGGCTTCGAAGATCATGAACGAAGCAGCACGGCAGCGCTGAAGCGAATCCTTGTACTGGACAAGATCAGACAGCTGGGCTTGGGAGGAGCTTGCATCGTAGTCGAGTGGCTCTGCGGTACCTGTCACACGGTGACGCACCCCGTGTTCTCATTGTGTTCGTTTCGGTGTGGGAGCTGCGTCCACAGCTGGCGGCACCCGTGCGTACAGCTACTTGTTCCTGCGACTGACAAGCGTCAGAGACGTGATATGTTCAGGATACATTGTGGCCGCATATGTGCACCAGCGACATGCCCCAGTTTTCTAGTGGGCCGGGCATCTTTGCAAAGCCACAAAAAGGCGTACGCCGTACGCATGACCTCCAGGCCCGAGTTTTCTCGACAAGTTGAATTGGAGAAATCATCTTCGAATTTTTCAAACTGACTGTTCCCCAGCTCGCGAAGGTGCCCGCCCGAGCTGGGCGCCCGAAACTGCCCCTGGGGTTCAGACCTCCGGGCAACTGTTGCGACAGAGGCAGCTTGCACGAGGACTGACACTTCTTCGAGACAAACGGCTGTGGCCAAATGCTGTTCACAGAGGCTGGGCGGCAGAGATTCCAGATCAGCTGTCGCAGGCGATGGAAAACGTAGCCTTCTAAAACTATAAGCCGCATTGTGTTTCCGCCCAAGGCTGCTGGCATGCCCAGGGGACTGTTGCCATTTCATTTTGCACATACCTAGACACCCGAAACTGCCCCTCGGGCTCAGCCCGTGCTGGTGCTAAGGCGGCGGGGCATATTGAACCAGGCAGACCTCGACAAAGCTCGATGCGACCCCAAATGTCCTTCACGGAGCAATTCGTGATTTCTTTCCATTCTCTCAGAGCCTCGCCGAGCCTGTGCTCAAGTTCCCCGAGGCCAGGCAACGGCTTAAGTTCCATCCCTCGACCCCGTCGTTTGCAGGCTGGGCTGTGTCGTAAGCAATGTTCCCAGACTGTTCACCAGGCTACGTGCAGGAGCCAGCTTGAAGATCTCAGCGCCGTGCACCATCGCAGAGTTGCCTCGAAAGCGGCTGGGGGCTGGCCGGTGCAACGTTCGCGGCGCTGCCCTGCCGGACAGAAGGTGCCTCAGCTCAGGCTGAGGCATTGCAACAAGCCCCACTAGTGCTGCTCCCGTCTTGCCTCGGCTCCACAGCCTCCGGTTATCCCTTTGCCTGACTCTCTCCTCGTCCACTGGTCTGCCCAGCTGGGATCTCGGAATGCAACCGAATCAGTCCCACCCTTCGGAACAGTCTTGAGCGGTTCAGTTCCTGCTTCCCTTCAGCACTTGCAGGCGTTTATCTCCTTGTTCCATTTTGCACAGCTTTGGTGTATAAAGTAAGCTAAGACCCTATATCGCTCTTCCATGACTGAGTTCAAAATCGACCAAGTTCATAGTGCGACTGTATCTGCAAATTTGGCTCTTCCGGAACGTCCCCCTAAACCCCTAAAGCCCGGCACGCCCTACACTTTGAAGATTCCTGAACGTCGCATTGAAGGGCCTCCTCAATGCATGGCTGGACCATCGTACAGAAGCCTCGCATTGGCTGCTGGGTGCCAGCGCAACACTGGCATGGATGGTTCGGGAAGCCAGGTAAAGCACCAATGTCCAGGACGGGTGCATGCGTCTGCTGCTGTTGGTTTAGTCATTCCGGCAGAAGGTCGACATTATGAGAGGGCGGTCAGGATATCTTTAGATTCTACAGGCGGCACGAGCTCGGCATATTTCTCGGAACGAAGTTTCTGCCACATTTCTCAAATCTTCTTGCCGGCCGTCTCGGTGTGGGCTTCCGGGGCCATGGTGAGCCAGAGTCTCGCAGTTCGGCAGTTTCGCATCTTCGCAGTTCAAGCTGGGCACACTGCTATTTGCCGGTCGATACGGCGTGGGCCGCCCTCCTCCGAAGAAATGGAATCAGTCACAGACAGCCCAACACCTGCTCACAGGACCCTCTGCATCGTAGACAAATCACAGAACGTGCCACAGGCGTCCAGGCATCTACGCAGGGCTTCGCACACAATATTCCGGCTGCGACAACTTGAGATGTGGAGCCTGCCGTTGATCAGCATGTCGTCCACGTGTCCGGCCGG